TTGACTATGAAGGCTACTCCATTTCTTCTGTGGGATTCTTGCCCGCAGTAGTATACCTGATGGTCATCTGAGATAAATTCACCCATTCCTGTCCATTTTAGTTCGCTGATTCCTAAGATGTCGATGTTCAGTCTTGTCATCTCTTGTTTGACCACATCCAGCTTGCCTTGATTCATGGATCTTACATTCCAGGTTCCTATGGAGTATAGATCTTTGCAGCATCAGACTTTCCTTTCACCACCAGATACATCTGCATCTGAGCGTCCTTTCGGCTTTGGCCCAGTCCCTTCATTCTTTCTGGCACTACTAGTACTAGCCCTCTGCAATTCCCCAGTAGCATACTGGACACCTTCTGACCTGAGGGGCTCAACTTCCGGTGTCCTATCTTTTTGCCTTTTGGTACTGTCCATGGGGTTTTCATGGTAAAGATACTGGAGTGGGTTGCCATTTCCTTTTCCAGTGTTAGTCTCCTTCCTATGTTAGTCTCATCCATTTCCAATACTGAAACAGTGGCTGCATTCACACATCATGACAACCATACTGGTTACTATGTTCACAGTCTTTTACCATGATCTACCTGGCACACAATCAAGTAGTTTCTACTTTATTGTAGTTTCCATCCTCCTGGCTTAGTCTTCCCACTGTTGGCATGTATCTCATCAGCCACCATGCCTGAAATTCAATCCCAAGGCTTCCAGCCTATGTCACCTGCTTCTTCCTCATAAGTCCACACATAACGGCTAGATTGCAAGAAGTAGCTCCTGCATTTGCCACTCTTTCCAGAAGTCTCTGTGGTAATTGCACACCAAGACCATGAAACATAATCTTGGATTCAGACAATGCAAGTCATGATGGTACAGAGAAACCTTAAAATAAACTGTTGTTTTTTTCACATGATTTCTAAAGACCAAATTTGCCATGACCATTGCCATGACTAGATTCACTACAGTACAATGTGTGTGTGTGTGTAATGGCTTGCCATGTTTACTGAACCCAGCCAGTATGTTAATAGGGAAAAGTTAGAACTCTGCCATAGGGCGTAATTAGAAGAAAATTGTTAACCACCTAATCCACATAGAGAAGGCTATAGGCCAGTTCAGACATAACAATAATTGAGAATTCTTGTGCACACTGCTCGCTTGGTTTCTTCAGCCAGGGTGAAAAGAAGCCAGGAAACAGGCATTATTATTATTATTATCATTATCATTATTAATTCTATACCACTCAGACTCCTATCTTGTTCCTCCCTTATCAACCAGAATCCTAAGACAGGCTTTCTAATTTATTTAAGCAACTTCCACTGACAGGAGGAGCCAAGCGGGAGGGAGCAGGCAGCATGCACTAGTATGCTTCCTTTTCCTGGTAAGTCAGAATATTAAAGAAATGGCTTATCATTACATCTGAACCAGGCTTATATTAAGTAACAAATACTTGTAATTCTGACAGCCATGTGTATGTGCCCTCTAACTACAACTAGTACATATTTTAAAAGAGCAGAAAGTGCTCCTACAACAGTATTAAACTACTACTACTACATTTTTATTCAAGAGTTAAGTGTGGATATAGTTACAGTCTAAGTTGACTCAACTGAGGCGCAGGCTGAGTGCTCTCAAAGTAACTTTAAGAATATAACAGCATTGCTGCTAAGCGATACAGAACCAGAATCCCTGCACATCCCTTATTTGTTCCCAGAGACAGAAGCCCATGTCTGAAAGGAGAGTTCAAATGGGACATGAAGGAAAGAAAATAAGCAGAACAATAAAAAAGGTGGGTGAACAAGGGAACAAAAGCAACAGGATAGTTGAAAGAAATGCTTCCTCATAATTTATAAATAAAAATGCATGGTTACAAACTAATTCTTTATCTTGAAAATGGTCACAATGAACACAGCAAAATTTACTTCTTGAGTGAACATAAACAAGGCTAGTCTACTAATGGAGCCATAGCTGATCATGGTTAGCAGACAAATACAGCAGCACAACACATGTATTTGGAAACTCCTGTTTGTTACATAGTTTATATTTTTAGGTGTACACATATTGTTACTGCATGGCATTTGTATCCCTCTTTTTCTTCTTGAGTAGGAAAAAATATGAATTTCTGAACACATTCACTTTTGCTCTGACAAGTCTACAATACTGATTACAATCTTGTAAATCACTTTCTGCAGCTGGGCACCTGGTACATATCCTGTTTAATTTAAACAATGCAAACATATTGTCAAGGAAGTATAAATCTTGAATATACCACGTAAGGAGGAATAGCAAACCATAAAAGGTGGTATGTCAACAAAGGAGAGCATTTTAAAAAGAAATCAGTGACCCAGCCAGATATTCCTTCCCTGCTTGCAATATTACTATTGGTAGCAGCTTTGAGTCTATAGGGTACCTCTCCCCAATCAAAGTGTGCCTCTAAATTTTCTGTTAAGATTGAAACCAGAGCTGTCCTGTATAGATAAGTGTCCTGATGCACAGAATATAAACTTAGTACCAATTTTAGTGGGCCAAATCAGACCTATCTAAAGTACCAGAATCCCAACTATTGCATGGTGTTATGGAATATATCTGGCTGAAAGTGCTCTGTTGTATGTTTATGTGTCATAGGTAATACTAACAGATGTTATATAGTAGAGAAGATTCCCCTTTTCAGTACAGAAGGTTCATCGCTCAATTAATCTAGCTCCTTCCTTCCTATCTCCTGTTATTCCCTGTGTAGTGTAGTGATGGTCTCTCTTTAAGAGAGAGCCATTAGAAAGAACTACTACAAAATGTGGCAGCGATGACAAGATGATATCCAGCAAAGAAACATATTAATTAAATAAATCGCAGATACTGAATTTTTCTGTTTCGTATTGAAAACTATCTTAGGAAGGTCGTGGGCTAGAAAGGTAGCTAATTAATCCATTAATTAAACAAATAAAGAATGGCAAGAGAAATTGTTTCCTGTATTTACATCATAACTGGTTCTCTGGATTAGAGCATGACTTGTTCAATGATTAAACAAAAACTGGTAGCTTAAGTGTTAAGGCTATCCCATATTGGCTCAAGCTCCACAAAGCTAGAAAATTGGAAAGAATTACTGATGTTTTAACTGACATGGCACCCATAATCGCTAATAATGTGTGATATCACAAATTATGCTTGTTTTAACTTGAGTACAGAAGCAGGGCATCTTTGCAGATCCCAGGTATTTCATCCTCCATCCATCCGGATTTGGGCCAGCAAGACCAAGGATATGTGTGGGTGCATGAAGTTGCAAGCTATCAGCAAGCACAATTAGTGACGCAGCACAAGAACGTAATTGATCACAGAACATGTCAGCTATGACATCATCCTTAGCTTCCAATTTTCTGCATTTGTGGAACTTTAGGCAACATGAACTAGCCTTAACTCTGGCCTTGAACCAGGAGGGTCTTTAATCAGAAACAGAGTTCTGGGGGGGGGGGAATAACCCCTTTTGGCTTTTCCACATATTGTTGTGTTACAACCCAGACATGAAACAAAGTAATTGTTCAACACTCAGTTGTTCAATACACATTACACTGTGTACCTCAACACCATGAAGGTACAAAATATTTTTATTGTGGTACAAAAGTGAACAAAAACAAATCTGCACTTGCTTATTGCATAAATATTCCCCTCCTTTGTGTGACATGTCCAAATAAGCCCACTGCCTCAAGAAGTCACACACATCACAGCTGGGTTATTAAAAACAAAAACAAACTGCCATATGAACACCTGAAGCACCTTCACAGAGCTGAGTATATTGTGTATGTGAAAAAAAAAAATCCTAAATGCTCCTTTCCTAGTTTCTCATGCTTGACAAAGAAGTCAACAAATCAAATTGCCTGACATAGGAACATGCAGAAGCAGAGAACTGAGTTAGATACTAACAATACAGCTACAACAAGGCATTGCAATACTATGTAAAAGATTCAACAGAGATTCAAATAGGCTAAGGTTGAAGTTTCATGCTTGAAGTTTTCAAGGACAATCTAGATATAAGGGGTGAATACAGGGAAGACATGCCAAGAATAATCAAGAAGGAGAGGGTCTATGAGAAGGTTTCTCTACTGTAAAGTATAAAATCATTGCTCAGTTATTGATCAGGGCTGTCCCCTGGAGTTCAGCCGATACATATATGCATAAACAGTTTTACTTTGAACTGTATTCTTAATAAATACTGCTGTTTTGCTTTTTCCAATCCATTTGGCCTGTTTCCTGCAGGATCTGACATGTACATCAAATGGTAACAATACCAAATAAATGCATTTTGATTCCAGGTTGCAACACAACAAAATCTGGAACAGTCAAAGGGGGCAAAAAAATCTGGCACTGTCATCATCCTACTTTTTGAAAAATAGATTCCCCCTGAAGTATTTGGGCATCCTTTCTTGCAGTTCTCCAACACAAATTATAACTATTTAACTAGTGGTAGTCATAGCTTAATTCAAGGTGCACATTTGTTTTAGATGTGCAGCTAACCTAATTAGAACCTAATGCTTCCTAATTAGAACAAATCAAAATGTGATAAGCCAGGGTGGTTAGCATTTAAAGAGTTTGATTAAAAGAGCTGGGTGTTTGTCTCCACTTAACCCTGAAATGGGCCAGTCACTGCCTCTCAGCTTAAGCTACCTTACAGCATTGTCGCTGCGAAGACAGTATGGAGAGAAAAATCCTGTAAGCCGACTTGGGTTCTTTGCCATTGGAGGAAAAGCGGGATATAAATGTGATGTAACAGTTACAATAATATGATAATGCATTTTATTGGGGATAACCAAAAGACAGTTTAGGGAGCCAACCTTTGTGATATTCAGAAGGCTTCTTTGTACTGCATTCTAAAGGAAGAATCTAAAGCCCCCCCCCCCCAGTGCCCTAGTGAGAGTAAGTAACTCAGCATTCAGGATTTTAATTTCAACACTGAAAAGAGAAGTGTTATGTGACACTTTATACGATGGAGAAACAGGCTGGCCAGGTGAAACAGGGCTAGACTGGACTTACCTGGCCCGTGATACCAGTGATGAGAGCTACTTTCCTGCTGCTCATGTCTGCACAGCCCTGCGTTGCCAATTCACAGCTCGAGCAGGTGTCTTGCTGCTGCTGCTGCTGCGGATATGCCATGGCCCGGGTGAAGGAGGGACTCTGAGTCACTCCTGCTGCTGTGGGCAGAAAGAGGAAACACCGCGACGGGGGGACGGGTGTGGAGGAAGGTGTGCCACTGCAGGTGCGCTAACAAGTGGCCAGGGAAACACCCAAGGCGCAAAGTTCTTTGCGAGGCACTCGAAACAGCACTACTATAATGCTGGCTGTAGGAATAAGTGGAGGACGCATAACCTTAAGTAAGGGGCTCTGGTTTTAGGAAGGGGGCAGAAACTACTGCTTCTGCCGTGTGTGTACGTGCAATTCCGTGTTCACTGCAGCACGACGTCCCCGTCCGTCCTCCCGTCCCAGGTACAGATGCGCACGCCTCGAGAACTACCCCTCTAAACTCCACTCCTTCCACTTCCTCCTCTTCCTTCGCGGCGCGGGCCGGCCGGCCGATAAGTGCTCTGCGCCAACCCCCTTCAGCGCGCGCCCGCGCCCGCCACGCGCTCGGGAGAGCGGCCCTGTCTTAGCAACGGATGCAGCAGCTAGCGCATCCCACGGTTAAAACAGAAGAAGCGGGAATGGGGGAGAGAAGTGGGATTGGCCACCCTGGCAGCCGGTCGGCCTCGCGCTCCTTGAATAACAGCGGCAGGCTCTTCCACCAGCCAATCGTGGCTGAGATGTCACGGTGGCGGATGGTCTCCCTCCTTTAATTTAAAGAGACAGGAACAGCCGCGTAATGTTCTCTGTCGGCGAAAGAGAAAGAGCTTTTTCGGGAGTGGTAATTGGATGATGTGGCAAAGACGGAACTAAGAACCGAGTTCGCAGCCTGTGTATTAAAACACCAGTTTGGAAACCGACTTCCTGGTTTTTTAGTGACGTGAAGGAAGAAAGAGGCCAGCAGAGACCGGGACACTCGGCGCCCCCCGCGGCTGGAGGAATGAAGTGCAGCCCTATGAACTTGAGCAAAAAGGCCCGCCAAGGGATGGCGCATCTGGACGAAAGGAAGAATTTAAAGCTCCACCCCACCCAGGATTATCTTACCCTTAATCTCAGTAGCCTTTCCTGCTAGCCCTGCCCACTGACAAAATACTGACAATAATACTGGAATTGCTCTCAAGACAAAGGAGTACTAGCAGCATCCTTACTTCAGAGTGAAACCGAACATGCCTATCATATTATTTCTAGCAGTCTCTGCCGCAGGCTTTCATGGGGCAGAAAAGCCTTGCTAACAATGAAACTGCTACTCAGAACATCACCAAACCAATGAAAGGCACCGTCTTCCTAATAAATCTGAATATGTCAGGAGTTTTCACCAAAATTTGAAAGAAATATATGATCTGCCAAGCCACAGCTTGTAGTAAAAATACAGATGTGCCAGTTTTAAGTACTTGTTAACTTGGAGCACCTCTGAATGCCAAGTAGATCATGGACTTCAAGTTTCACAGTATTACCTAAACAGGTGTCATTTTGATCTCCCCCCCCCCCCTCCACCAGGCAACTCACTTTAACAAGGCACATTCATGCCCATTTAATCCAGTGCAGAATCCTGTTTACAACAGTGGCCTGCCAGATGCTTATAGGGATCCCACAGGTGGAACATGAGAACAATAGACCTTTCCTGTTGTCTGTCTCCTAGTAACTGGCAATCAAAGTGTTACCAGACTGAGCCAGTCAACAGCTGGGGCAAACCCAAGTGGATCCCTGACCCAAGCCAAACAGAGCCTGAGATGAGACTTAGAGCCAAAATCAACTTTATTCTAGTGCACTATAGAATAAAGGGAGACAAAAGGGGACATTCAGCCCAAAGCAGTGTCTCAAAAGTTGCACCCCAGTACATGTGTTTTATACCCTAGGTAACCAATTAGGTCACCTAATACACACCTAATACATCAATGTATGCACCCCCTCCCGTGCTGGAGAAAGAATCCTTTCTTCTGTCAAGGACCAGACATTTCCCATGTCTATTTCTTATCTGCTCGAGATTCACACAGGCTTGCCATATTCTCACTCCCTGCACATTTGCAACTTTCATGGTGTCTAGAATCAGTTTCCACTGTCCCTTTGATTACTGTATTCGAGGTGAGGCTAGCGTGTTAGCTGTGGGTTACACAAAGTTCATTTTGTTCTTATCCGCCCTCCCTTCTGGGACAGTATAACTGTGGTGTTTTTACTATGTGGCCTTCCTCTGGCCAACTACTTTTGGGTCCTTTCTCTGGCCAATTACTTTTGGGGTGCTGCAATTGGTAACAGTTTCCCCCCTTCAAAGGAATCTTCTTATTAAAAGACAGATTCCTCTTGATTAGGGAGATAGATTACTAAGCCTTTGCAGCTTTGCCTTGAAGGTGCAGACTGCTGGTGCAGGTGAGGGCCATTTGAACAGAGAAACATAGAAGCATAGAAACAGAATGAGTCAGAAGGGGTCTCCTGGGTTATCCAGTCTGACCCCTGGCCCCAGCCGGCCCCACTCATGACATGCCTACCATGTGCAAGTCTGAGAAATATTAGAATGAATAATTGTTGGCAAACACTGTCAGCAACAGCAAGCAAAATAAGGAGGAAAAGCATAAATATATACATGTATAAAGTTTCAAGTTTTGGTAGCCAGCCTCAGTTGGAGAACCAAAACAACAATCCTCCCAATCCACTTTTACCAGAATGTAATGTAAAGCAGGTTGTAAAGCATTGAGCTTTTGAATGAGATGCTTTAAACAAACAGTTTTGTCTTCTACAAGTGTTGCAAACCCTGTCCTGGCTTGCTAACAATGCAGTGTCTAGCAACTTTGTATGGCAGGTTGCTGAAGTTGAGCTAACTTTGTTGTATGTCTGAAATGGCATCAGCTGTTTCACTAGAAACACAGAGAATGCAGAGGCTCGCACTCTAATGTCATGGTGATTTGAGAAACCCCCAACTGGCGGAAGGATGGCACAGAGAAAGGAATAGGCTACCCCGCTTTGGCAATGTCTTCCACCAATGTTTGAACTACCTCTCTGCAGTTTGGGCAAGCACCCTTGGGGACTTCTGTAGTAATTCAGAGATTGGGGGCAAGGTATCCAGTGCCCTATTCTTCTGTAGGGAAGGCCATGAAAGCCTTCTGGCTACTAACCCAATAGGTCCCAAGGTGGTTTCCATGTTTGGAAGGCATACCTGTGTTGTGAAGCTGACTCCAGAGATTCTCTGTAGAGGATTTCTCCTGTGGAGTTTTATATTTGCCAATTATTTCCATTGTGGGCCATTGGGCTAGGCATATTTGCTGACTTCCATCTTTTGGCAGCACCAAGTTCTCTTGCACCCATAGTGTGCATTCCAGGTGTACCAATTGGCACTTACCAGCCCCATTTGTGTGAATAATGCATAGCAGGCAGCATCCACATGTAGTTGCTCATTCAGCTGCAGGCAGGACCTTTCCGGCTTAGCAAAGACTAAGCTACATGCTGGCCACCGCACCAAGCTCTTCCTCACACACAGGGGCCTATTCCAGCTTGTCCCAATCGGCTGTTGCTCTCTTGGGTGCTGTAGAGATGTTGCCAGTCCACCACCACCACCAAACTAGACCACTGTGCCTCAGTGGTCCTTGCCTGTAGTGGCCTCACATGGAGATAGTTTTTCCCAGGGACCTATGGAATCCTTTTAAAGCCAAATATGAATTTTCTTTTTACTCTCCTTTGGCTGATCTGGGATGGCAGTGCCCGCCCTTCTGCAATTTGCATGTCAGCGTTACCTCATCTTTGGTTAGGATCTAGACATGTGATATTTCCAGGTGTAAGAAATTCATGCTGGGTTTTCACCAGTACTACTGAAGCAGAAGCATTCTGTTGCACACTGAGCCAGTACTCTCAAACTGAAAACTTAGGAACTTAGAACAGAGGAAGTCCACTGTTTTCTTTCCACAAGGACATATGGTGTAGAAGGGAGTAACAAAATTAACAGAAGTAAACAGAGACAGTCAGAGTAGCGACTCTAAGAAACTCCCCCTCTTCTCTTCAGCATTATTATCTAGGCTACTTAGCGTTAGGCAAATGCAAGTTTCTTTGTTTTCAATCTTCAAGCCGGGACCCAATCCTGGTCCCTGATAGGCTGCTTTTCTTCAGGGCTCTTCTCCCTTGTCCCTTCCAGTTGTGGGCCCTTGGCTGACCCTGATGTCAGCTTCTTCTTGTCCTGGTCTGTTACGCCACTGGTCCTCCCTTGCAGGGTTGGCGTTTGAGCAGGAACTTCAGGTCCTCCATAGGTTCCACGGTCCTTCGGTCTCCTTGTGGTTTTGGAACTTTCCTCAGCCTGGTGTAGTGTCCCCACGTAGGCACTCCCTCAGATCTCACTGCTGTGTAGCGAGGTGCACCTGGGCATGGTCCGTCCACTGCATCAATGATCTCCAGGCAGTCCAGTCTCAGGTAAGTCAGCTGAAGTAAACCAGCAGCCCCCACTTCCCCTGTGCTATTGCGAGCCGCAGGCAGCAACCAGCCAGTGGCCGCAGCTTCACCCACTGCAGGCAGTCAGTTAGCCAGGCACAGCTGGGCAGCGAGCATGGCTGCCCTGGCCTCAGAGAAGCAGCAATGCCAGCCAGCTAGCCAGCATCACAGAAGGGTGGAGAGAGGTGCCTGCTAGGACTGGTGCTGGAGAGGACCAGCCCCAGCCCCCCTCCCCTTCGCACCTCCATGCCAGGAGCTTCCCTGGTGCTGAGGAGCAGCCATGCATGCCCCAAGAAAGCACTGACTGCCAGTTTTCTAAGCCTGCGTTTACAGCTTTGGGGGAGTTCGACAAACTGCCTCCTTTCTCTCCTGAGGCAGCTGGTATTCCACCCCTCCCCTGAAAGTCAGAAACCCCAAATACTGCACCTGTTCTTTTGACATTTGAGTCTTCTCCTTGGTGACCCAATGAAATCCAGCAGATGTGCACTGGTCTGTGGCCTCAGCGGCAATTAAAAGATTGTTCACATACTGCAGTAAAAACACCATTAGAGTCTCTAGTCCATTCAGACAAG